TCTATCAAACTAGTAAAGAAAAAATGAAAGGGCTTATCACTTAGTTGAAATCTAACTAATGGCTGTTCCATTAATTTCCACCAGAGAGCAGCAGAGGCTTATACTGTACTTTCATTTGTCCTGCTTCTGAACATTACTGCACTTAATACTTGTGTATTGTGTATGTTTAAATACACCAGGTCAGTGGAGTTGCATAGTCGTAAGTCTAGTTACAAGAAGATGTAGATCCAAGCTACAAGGTTTGTACCCAGACTGGAACTTTCCCAATATTTAGAGTTGTACCAATGTAGACTTTTAGCTCAGACTACTATAAAGTTGTGGCCAGGGTCATGAACTTAGGATCCAGACCTGAACTCCCCTAAAGACTGAGGGGAGTATGGATGGTGTTCACTTTCAGAACTTTGGGTTAAGGTCTGTCTCCTAAAATGTCACACTGTGCTAGGTGGCATACAAGAGACTTTAAACAATTAGACCAACAGTCCATTATTATATCTTGGAGACCTCTGTATCACACTTTCACTTTATGTGCTGTTAATTCACCATCCTGTGGGGTGACCATCCTGCCCCACCTTCACTTCTTCCTCTCTTCTCCTCTTGTCCCACCACCAGCTCTTTCCAGAGAGCTACTGTCTCTCTTATTTGGATTCATTATGTAATTGAATTCTTACTTAAAACACAATGAAAACATTGTAATCAGGGGGAAATGTGCTGGTTCAGTATATTATAATTATAAATACAGCAGACTTTTATAGCATGTTGTGTACTATATATTGCTCAACATGCTGTGCTAATCATGGATTAGTCACAGAAGTGGCTAAGATAACCCTGGTTTAATGAGCTTAAATGATTTGGCACAGATCACACAGGAAGTCTGTGATAAAGATAGAAATATAACTCAGTTCTCATGGCAGGCCCTGTGCTTTAATCATGAAATCATGTTTTCTTTTTTAAAAAATTCTATTTGATGATATATAGTCAAGTGCACTGACAGAATACCTCTTTTGCCACCCATTCCTTGCAGATATGGTACTTTGAATTTCACTGTTGTTTTGCCTGAGGAAGGATTGTAGGATCAAGATCTATATCAATAATATTAAATGTCTTAAATAAAGTTGCAGTGAAATAATATAGAATATAACAAAATGGGATACAAGTAAAACATTCAGAAATACTAGGTCAAAAATACTTTAAAGATAAATATGTTGGAAAGTGCAGGACTTTATATTTTGTAGTATCTTGAAATAAATTATAAACACAGGAAAATTTAGCAGATCACAGCCATGGTGAAACCAGAAAAAAAGAGAACTGCATACTAATAATCCTACAATGCGAATACAGGCCCACCAGTGAAATACATCTATTTACATCAGACCTACATTTGGTCCATTATAACCAGAAATAAACATAGATGTGCTTTGGTGTCAGACTAAATTGTCATAGAGGAAAACATTAAAAGTCCTTGTCGTTGAAAATGCTAACTTTATCCCAGATTGTAGCTAAGGTCTTGAGAGAAGGAAGTCAAGCCTAAGTAACTTTTCTATCAAGAAAAATCAGGAAGTAGATCTTAGAAAGCTTGCCTCACTCTCAGAAATAGATTCAGGGCAACATGGGGAAGAAGCTTTTTCCTCTAAAAGAAGGAAAGTGAAAGCCTGCCCATTTACATCCCTTTATAGCAGAGCATATTGGAAATGGAAGAAACTTGGGACCTCATATATTATAATTTATTCTATTGCTCAATTAGTGCTGGAGGCAAAAACAATAGCAGGAAATGAGATGTTAGCTCAAACAACTGAAGTACTGATGTACTATCCAACTGTGGGATGTCTACAGGTAGTGTTTTTGTATCTGAAAAGGTATACTGATTCATTTAAGAGGAAGGCTTAAATTAATAAGACTTTGATAATAAAGTACCTTTGGACAATTGGATTCCATATAACTTTCTGTGTCTACTGACTTAAAAAATCATTGGCTGTGTCTACATTGGCGCGATCTTGCGCAAAAGCAACTGCTTTTGTGCAAAAACTTGCTGCCTGTCTACACTGGCCACGAGTTCTTGTGCAAGTACACTGACGTTCTAATGTGTGAAATCAGTGCTTCTTGCACAAGAACTATGATGCTCCCGCTCAGGAATAAGCCCTCTTGTGCAACTGTTCTCTAGCAAGAAAGCCCTATGGTTAAAATGGCCATCAGAGCTTTCTTGCGCAAGAGAGCGTCTACACTGGCATGGATGCTCTTGCGCAAAAGAACATCTCTTGCGCAAACGCACATGCCAGTGTAGACGCTCTCTTCTGGAAGAGTTTTTGCATAAGAACTCTTCCACAAAAGAGTTCTTGTGCAAGATCATGCCAGTGTAGACGTAGCATTATGTTTAGGGAACTATTCATTTCTCTCTTTCTCTGTGCTACCATGTCTATGCTTTGCATAGAAATTCTCACCTGTTGCTATGACTGATGAGATTCAGCAGTAAGGAAAATATTAACTTAAAAACAAATACTAAAAAAAACAAGATGTAAATTAATGTCTAACAGAAAGATATATGGAACAATGACTAGTTTATAAAATTTGTATAAAGCCTTATAAAACTTTAAAATTGCAAGCTAGGGATGTATATATACATACCCACACATACACAATAAAGTTCAATTATATGCATATAGTTTAAATATATATTCAGAGGAAATTATAGTATAGAAATTATAGTATAGAAATAGATTGTTTGTATAAAATCCACAATGTGCTAGTTACTTTCCATGTACTTCATACTTCATGAGAAATAGATTCTGCCCCAAGAAGTTAAAAGAATAAAAATTGCTTTCCAAAAGCCATTTCCTGTTTGTGCTGATGTGCCTTGCTTTATGTTGATTTGTAGATAACTAGTTGCAAAGATACAGTTAGAAATTCTCTGAGCATTGCTTGACTGCAAGCATATTTCAGCTTGTGAGCTGTGAGAATATCAGTAAGAGATGTTTGTAACTTGATTGCCTGGGCTTTAAAATTGCCTGGTAAAAGGGAATTTAATCTGTCAAAGGGAAAAATTCTGGCTTTGTGCATGTCTGATTTGACAAACTCGTTGGTTTATGGGACTTGATGTAATTACCAATTAGATACAACTATCAAAACAAATGTACTTAAAGGTTTTCTGTATAAAGGAGAGTGGAAAAAATAAATTCCATACAGGGCAGTTATTAAAGGGTTGAAAACAAGGAGTAAATAGATTAGAAATGTGAAATTTCCTGGCATCCCCACTGCAAAGAAACTGTGGAAAATCAGAGGTTGAGGACTTGAAAATACTTCATTAGATGTACATTTTATGTCGAAGGAAACAAGAAAGCATACCAGGAAATGAGATGGGGTTAAAGGTCAGATTAAAAAAAAGATCAAGGGCATCCACAGGAAAATAAAAAGGTGCTTGAAATAAAAATCCAATTAATGGATTAAAGGCAAAAGGTCAAGGCATAAATAAAAGGGTTCTAGGGAAGAACAGTGAAAGGATCAGAACAGGACAAGGTCAGGAAGCTAATACTATGCAATTGGAAAGGGAGATTACAAAGATAAGGTATATATAAAATAATGAAGTGAAATGAGAGATAAATATATAGGTGAGGGATGCCTAAACATGATATGATAGAAGTGCAGAAGTTTACTAATTTATTTCACAGATCTCAGAGAGTAGTTATTACAGTCAAGCTAGAAGGGATAAGTTTTGGTTTCAGTTCTGTTCAATATCTTCATTGATAATTTAGATAATGGCATAAAAAGTACACTGAAAGTTTGCAGACAATACCAACATGGGAAGGGATATGTGTGCTTTGGAGGATAGGATTAAAATTCAAAATGACCTAGACAAACTGGAGAAATTGTCTGAAATACAGAGTCAGGAGCGGCCTGAGGCCGGCTGAGGCAGCTGGCGCCCTAGGCGGAATGTGCGATCGGTGCCCTCACCTTCACAGGCATCAATGGTCGTGACATCATCATCGGGCAACTGCCTAGTTTGCCTGGGTTCACGGGCCGCCCCTGCACAGAGTGAAATTCCATAAGGACAAATGTACAGTACTCCACTTAGGAAAGAACAATCCATTGCACACATACAAAATGGGAAATGACTGCCTAGGAGGGAGTTTTGCCAAAAGTGATCTGGAGGTTATAGTGAACCACAAGCTAAATATGAGTCAACAGCCTAACACTGCAGCAAAATCCTAGTTGCTGGAAATGCAGAGACTTGAAAACATACTTTGAACTGGATTTGGAGATAAGTAGCTAGCTAGAGAATGTAAGATGGTGGAAAGGTCTCTGCCTAGAACAGCGCAACGGCTTTGCCAAACCACTGTGGATCCTTGAAGTTGAAAAATTGGGTGGGAAGTCTATGAAAAAGTGAGCATGCCTTGGCTTAGGTGTGGCTGTTCAGCCAGAGCAGATTTCCCATACACTAATTGTAGTTAAATGGTGGGAAGGGCCCCAACAACCCTATTGTCAATAGGCACCTGCAGGCAGGACCCTGGTATCTACGTCCTACCATTTCCTCTATATGCAACTGCAGGACGCTTTCACTGTAGTAGACAAACAGCTTTTGCTGTTATTTTAATGCTCCACAACGAGTGAAAAGACACCCTTGCTCTGGGAGAAGTGCGCTCACCTTAGGACGGAGGTGGGTCAGGAGGGCTGGATAGCAGATCATAAAAAGCGCCGTTATGTGTGTGACTGGCAGAGCACGGGGCGGCTAGCTAGATCGTGTGAAAAATCAGGACAGGGGATGATGGAAGGGAATAGGCACCGAAGAAAAAGCCCCTCATAATGGGACTGATCCTAGAACATCAGGACATCTGGTCACCTCAGGTTGGTCCCCGCACCCACTGCCCTCGCCCTCTCTGGTCCCATTCCAAGCTACACGCTGCCCTGCTGGGAACTCTCTGGGGCTGGCTGCAGCGAGGTGTCCTCTGCCACAGCGATGGCCTCGCGTTGCAAGAGCGCCGCCCATTCCCCGGGCGAGGGAGAGTCGCTGGGCTCCCTGGCGTCGGACTCGAGCGTCATCTCAGCCCACCCCCGCCACGGCGTGTGCGCGCCCCGAGATAGCATCCCCGTGGGGGGACCCAGCTGGCAGCCGGCGTGCGCTGGAGCACGTGGGGGCGGCCAGGAGGCGTGTTCCGAGCTGGGTGGCAGCGGCGGGGTTGCCGCAGCTACCACCCGACCCGCAGACTGCAGGCAGGCAGGTGAGGGGGCGGCCGCCGGGAGGGGTGAGCTGAGGGGCTTGCATGGGGCGGGGGCACGTATGCAGTTATTGAGAGAAGAGGGGCTGGTGGGGAGTGGAAGTAAGAAGGGGCGCCTGAGCCACCAAGTGAGACAATCAAGGTTCACATAAGGGAAGGGAATTGTAATTAAGCTTCTGCGCGTTTGTCTGCTAGTTGCCATCTGTTCTGGGCTGTTGGAAGGGGGAGCATTATTATTAGATGTTGAATTTTTGTGTGTGCCTTTTTTTGTATTTTACCCCTCTTAGGTTGTTTGGTATTGCTCTGGAATAGCTGGCTTGTTTCTCCAATTATTCATTCTATGCTAAACTGATAGTTGGGGATTGTGTTACCACCCTACTGCAATTGTTTTAAGTAGAGATGTGTTTTCATTCCTGAAAAATGCTTAATTGTTGGCTTTACATGTTAAAATCGTTGCAGACCTGGGTAATCGTGTAGTGTGTGCTTCTCAAAATGGCACTCTAGATACTCCAGTGTGACTTTCTTAGCTTTCATTCCCCACACACATTCTTAACATACTTCATTACTGCATTGATTGGCTGTAGATATAGATACATAGGGTTTTAATTTAGTCTGTTTTATCCTAAATTGAGGGTAGCATGGTATCAGAGTGCAGTTTGGAATACATCTGCCATACCATCCTGTAATCATCACTTAATATAACATTTCTGTGTTCTTGCTATGGACTAATTGTTCTTCAAACTCTCCTCAATATTTGTAGGACTATTACATGACATTTCTTTTTTTTCTTTCTTTTTTTTAGTAGCACTTTCTGGATATTTGTATGGTTTACTTGATCAGTGCAAGTTGCAGCTTAATGAGTTAATTTAGGTGATATCAGCTATGAGACTAATTCAAAGCACAATAAGGTTGTGGCAGATAGTGTCTATGCCTCCTAGATTTCTGTTGTGGCTGCATTTGCCCTCTAGTCCTGGAATATGGATTCTCTTTCTCCTGTCTTGTAGGACGATGGCATCCATTTCCGAGCGCACTTTCATTACCATCAAGCCTGATGGAGTCCAGCGGGGAATAGTGGGAGAAATCATCAAAAGATTTGAACAGAAGGGTTTCAAATTAGTGGCCATGAAATTAATACATGTGAGTTTCCCTCGTTTCTTTATTTATCCTTTATGTATAGAATGTAATCATATTTAGAGCAGGCTGGTGTACTTCACTCCGTGAAATATCTATTGTAATATTTTTAAATGAAATTTTAGAAATATCAAATGTCAAATTTTATGTCTGGATATTTTTGGAGACTTTCTATCATTCAGCTGTAGTTAAATGGTTTTGACATCCCAAGCAACCTAATTTTAGTAAGATGATGCCTTAGTCTGAGGAGAATATTCTTATAGGTGCCATTTACACTTAATAGGCATCTGTTGTACATCTACAGCAAAAATTGATTTCTTCTCAATTGGATACTGCTGAAACAATCTTGCTGAGTTAATTTATATTTTAAATTCATATAAACATAACACATCTAGCCAGTTGCTAAAAGCACTAATTTTTAAAGCGCATGCCTGTTTAAGGATTAATAGTGCTCTGTGGTTAATCTCTTGTGATTTAAAGATGCTCTTAAGTTCTTAGAGTAAATTACCTTTTTTTTGCAGGCCTCTGAAGACCTTCTGAAAGAACATTACATTGATCTGAAAGATCGGCCATTCTATGCTGGTTTGGTTAAATATATGCACTCTGGACCTGTTGTAGCTATGGTAAACTTTTAAACTGGCTTAAGAAAAACTAAAAAGTTGATGTGTCTTGTTTCATAACTTTGTTACATATTGAAAATGATACTACCTGTAAATGTAGTTTCATGTACAAATGTTTCCCTTTAACTTTTTTTTAATAGTTTCTTTTTTCCTATTGCAATGTGCCAAGCAGCAGGGGATGTGAACAGTGGTAAACTGACTGCAAAAAGTGCTGTCACATTCACAAAATAAGCAACTGGAAAAAAGAACAGTGAAATATTTAATGTTTCAAGTAGAGAAATCTTGTATTTCAGATTTACACTGCAAAATCATAGACTAAACTAGGTAAATGTGACCTTTTTTTAAAGAATCTCCGCTATGAGTTGCCCCTGTATACATCCATTCTTCACTAAAGTTGTTGATGTTTGTAGGAGCTGATGTGTTGTAAGTCTTCCTATTCCCTGCTCTTAAGTCATGTGCAAAATAATAATAAATAATAATAATAGCGCAAATGGAAATCAGCCATGGGGAAAAATTCCCTGCTATAAGTTGTGTTGCTATAAGTCCAAGTTTTTTGGAACATATCTTGGACTTAAATACTTTAGAGGTATAGGCTCACCTCGCTATGAGATCCCTGTGAGATTTTATGAGTTTAAGAAATTTTGAAATGGGATGCTTACCTGTTTGTTACACGTAAATCTGTTCAGTAGTACCCTCATGCTTTGGCTAGCAGTCAGCAGAAATTACAATAGCTTCTTGGAGACAGTTTCACTCCAATCCTTCAATGCCTTGCTTACAAATTCTTTGAAAAGGGGGACTTAACACCCACCCGGTAATGGGATCAAGTTGAATAACTTTGCCAACTCTCACTGTGTTAGTTACAGTTTGGATTCTGTAATCGTAATGGATTTATTTTATTTTTAAGGTGTGGGAAGGTCTTAATGTGGTTAAGACTGGCAGAGTAATGCTAGGAGAAACTAATCCAGCAGATTCCAAACCTGGTACCATCCGTGGTGACTTCTGTGTTCAAGTTGGCAGGTATGTTCTGAAATAGTTTTGATAAGACAAAGCCAATTTTTAATGCTGATGACTTACTTAGTTCATTGTTTTATAATTAAGTTTGGGGACGTGAAAACTAGAACAACTTGAAACTGTAGAAAAATTCAAGCAGCAGAATGTAAATATTGGAATTTGATCAATGTTATAGTAAAGACGTATAGACAAAGACTGAAATACTTTCTACAGCCCCTCAACTTTTTTTCATGGAGGTTTCCCATTTGAGTACTGACATATAACCCTACTTATTTTATGAGAACTAATAAGCTCTCTGCATGATGACTTGCCTCCTGGTCCTTTCTATCAGGATGTCCTGATAAACATGAGTGTCATTTGATAACATACATTTTAAAATGTTAAAATGGAATGAATTTTGTTATATAACAATTGGTAACAAAAACTTACTAACCACTGAAAAATATTTAAGAGCGTTAAGGCCCCTACTCTGCAAAGTGATTATATGTAGGAAGACCCCTTCCCCCAATAACTTCATCCAGATGCAGGGGTTCACCTCCACTAGATTATCTAGGACTGGAGGCAAAGGATATAAATAGAGATGGGGTTTTCCTTCTCCGTCCCCCACTATCAACACGGATGAGAGAAGCTTGTGTGTCATATTCATGAGTATGTTTATTAATAAATGTAGTCACGGTAACCAGAGAGGTTTTTCTAAAAATAAAATTCTTGTGCTTTTAATTCTATAATTGACTTTTCTTTTTCTTCTCTTAGGAACATCATTCATGGCAGTGACTCTGTAGAAAGTGCTGAAACAGAGATCAACCTGTGGTTCACTCCTGAGGAGTTGGTTGAATACACAAGCTGTGCTCATCAGTGGATATATGAGTAAAAACATGGTCTGTGACTTTTAACATCCATGCATCCCAATGATTATGGACCCAGAAATAGTTCCTATTGGTACTATCCTTTAATTATTTCAAGGCACTTCTGTATAAACTGGTGGAAATCTCTAATTTGTGTTGTGCATATTACATGTAACCAGTGTTATTAACTGCTGCTCTAATTAAAAAAGCTATTGAATTATTACTTGTGAAGCTTTATAACTCTGTGTGTATATAGAAGAGAAGGAGATTACAATAGAGGAGAGGATTTTTAATTAATGACTAAACACGAGGCATAAACTGCCATGAAATGCTCTGTATCCACAGAGGATAATGTGGTGTATACCCATTAGCAAACAATCTAAAATGGCTTAGTGGCCTTAAGATTTGTTGTCAAACATAGTTAAATCACCAGGACACACATGCTGGTATGTAAACAGATCCATAATATACCCAAAATACAGGGAGTAAAAGAATGATATAGAAGTAAAGTCAAGCAAAAAAATTGATTTTAAAATTGTGATAAACATCTGTGGGAAATGTTCAATTATTTTCTCTCTCCAGAAAGTCAGTTCAGTTATACATAGGCAACAGCTTTACTCTGAAAGTAAGGATTTTAACCAGATTGTAACTTTAAACTCAATTTTTCACCCTAGCCTCAGTCATTTGCATAGCTCTTTAAGCGAGGATTAATATGGCAGCTTTATAAAATGTTCTTTTATGAGAAAAGAAGATTAACGCGCACAGGCCGCTCAGTATGCTTTACCTCCTTTCACTCTAGTATAGCATTTTGTTTGACATTGGCAAGAACATCAGCACTGAATTATATTTCCATGCAAAGAACTGGCAGCTCAGATAGAGTCTTTCCTTGGTTGTTTGAATGGCAAAGTAAACTGTGCTTGGATAAACTTTTGAAAAAGTGACTTTGGCACTTAGGAGCCTAAGTCTCAGTAGTAATCATAGATTCATAGAATACTAGGACTGGAAGGGACCTCGAGAGGTCATCGAGTCCAGTCCCCTGCCCTCATGGCAGGACCAAGTACCAACTAGACCATCTCTGATAGACATTTATCTAACCTGCTCTAAATATCTCCACAGATGGTGATTCCATAACCTCCCTGGGCAATTTATTCCAGTGTTTAACCACCCTGACGATTAGGAACTTTTTCCTAATGTCCAACCTAAACCTCCCTTGCTGCAGTTTAAGCCTATTGCTTCTTGTTCTATCCTCAGAGGGCCAGATGAACAAGTTTTCTCCCTCCTCCTCATGACACCCTTTTAGATACCTGAAAACTATCATGTCCCCTCTCAATCTTCTCTTTTCTAAACTAAACAAACCCAATCAATGACCTTCTAAAATGTTAGCCATTGTATTTAAACTCATTCATATGATAGATTTCCTTTAATAATAAACAGATCTCAGTAGTGCAGTTCAGGACTATCCACATACCTTTCAGCCTCCTGGAGAGTTGCTATGGCTAGACTCCCAGTTCCTAATGTGCTAGTTCATTATCATAAATAACCAACATACTGCAACTGAGAAGCAGGTCTTTGTAATTTGGCTACAGTTGCGTATTTGAAATAGGGAGGTTACAATGTGTGTAATGGGTTAACCATGTAACTGCTGAAAATGTCAGTGGTTACACGCAGGGCAGCAATCAGCTCTCTGGAAGCTGGTGTGTGCCCATGAATGTTCTGGCTCTTGCCTGCTGCTCCATACTGCTGCCTCTGTATCAGAGGCAACAGTGCGGGACAGCAGTTGTCTCTCCGAGAGCTGTTCTGCATTTCTTCCTGCTTATGGTCTTGGTACGCAGGTGATATAGAGGCAGCTACGCGGGGTGGCAGCTGGCTCCATCGGAGCCAGACCAGGAATTATGCATAACCATTTGGGTAACTAATAAACTCATGCTTATAAGTTTAGTGGTTACCTATTTTAAATGGCTACGCTCTTACATCCCTAATTGGGAAAATCAACTGAATGTTTTAGATGGACCATTGTGACCTATGCTAGTTACCTCCTTCAGCTCACGTTACTGTTTCTTTAGCTCACAACAGCACGTAGATTGTTTAAGGTTGTCAACTCTCCCAAATGGACGGGATCAGACACCATATGAGACAAACTTTACCTGGGCTCTGTGGTCCAGGAACATCTGCCAGACCACAGATGTTGCTGGACCAGAGTCACGGTTAAGGAAGGTACAACCTGTATAATTGGTTAGAATAAATCTATGTATAAAAACTATATTTGCTTTGTGTTGTAATTATTTATAATATTTTAAATGATTAATATTAATGTGGGAAACCACCAAACACTAATTTAACCATAAATTCCTTTATTAAATGCAAAGGTACTTATACAATTGCTCTTACACATGCCTAAAAAGCCTAACAAATAAGCAATTACTACATCCAAAGAGTAACAAAACATATATAAACATTTGATCATGATACTTACAAACAGGCTAGACAGGGATGCCTTAAAAAGCAGAGCCTGCAGCTCAGGGTGGTAGCTGGCTCTCCAGGAGTTGGGCCAGCAGCTGAAGGAGTGGGGCTGGCAGGGCACTCTTCCTGCCCCACTCCTGGGGTGGCATCTTACTCCCAGCAGGAAGCTGGCTGCCCCATGCTGTAAGCTCTGCACTGCAAGAGCTCCCAGCGTGGGGAGGCACTTGGCTCCTGGGGAAGCAGGGCTTCCAGTGTTCACCAGCTCCCAGCTGATGGCCCCCAGGAAGTCGGCTGCACTGCAGGAATTTAACTGAAACGGAAGTTGATGCTTTTTGGTTAACTGGTTAAATTCTTACATCCCAGTCTGATCACAGCAACAGAAGCCAGGATGTGCTGTGTTCTAGTCCTAGTTCTTACACTTGACAATATTCTTACTTTAAAATTGCAATCACAGTTTCATCCGCATATGTGACAACAAAAAAAAATCAGGATAAATGTGTCTCCTGGCCTCTGGGTGCTTTATATATGAGGTAATTTTGAGCAACTGTAGGGTGCATGCAGTGCAACTTGGAAGAAGCAGCTTCCCAACACAGTGACAAAGGCCATTTGTCTCAAAGCAAAAGATGTTAAGAATGCAGGAAATTGCAATCACAGTTTCATCCGCATATGTGACAACAAAAAAAAATCAGGATAAATGTGTCTCCTGGCCTCTGGGTGCTTTATATATGAGGTAATTTTGAGCAACTGTAGGGTGCATGCAGTGCAACTTGGAAGAAGCAGCTTCCCAACACAGTGACAAAGGCCATTTGTCTCAAAGCAAAAGATGTTAAGAATGCAGGACCCACCCCCCCCCACACACACACACACACAAGCCTAATATCTACTATTAAAAGACAGTGTTGGGGAAACTGAACAGACTTTAAACCTTCAAGGTATTTTTTGTTGTAACACCATATTGTGAGGTCATGTTGAGATTCACAGCCATGACTGAAAACAAATCCTAGCCACAATGGAAGGCAAGGCAAGTGACCTTTTTAAGATTGCCGCATTGTCTGTTAAGGGAATGTGTTCCCCATAGTGCTTCTAGCAAGGCTTTTAAGATTAAGGATGTGATCCCACCTCTTTTGTGTCCTTTTCCATCCCCACCTTATTTCTTCTCTTTCCTATCCTCCTTTCCATAGAATCATAGATGATCAGGGCTGCAAGGGACACCCCTCCCCCCCCAGGAAGATCATCTAGACTAAGCCCCTGATCAAAGCAGGATCAAGCTCAAGGAAACCATTCCAGCTAGGGCTTCTGTGTTCTAAGGAAGACATCTGAAGAAGTGGGTTTTGCCCACAAAAACTCATGATACCATCTACATGTTTTGTTAGTCTTTAAGGTGCTACTAGTCTATTTGTTGCTTTTTAAGTTTTTCCTGTCTGAGAGTTCATTCCAGACCTATACCCTGCAGCACTGCAATAAGCCTGTGAGCAGATGCAGATAAAAGCAGTGTACTATAGCCTGATGCTGCTGCAAGTTGCCAGCTCTCACAGTGGTTGGCCAGACTGCGTGCTGGCCCTGTGTTTTTCCAGGACTTGAAACTGCAACGATGAGGCCAGCCCCAGAGGCAGAAGCTGCATTTTCGATCTTTCTTGATTTCCCCCCCTTTTTGGAGGATCTTTGACTTTTTGTCGACCTTTACCCTGGGTGGCCAAGTGACCGGTTTTGAAGTGGACAGTCCAGTATTTGAGCTTTCTGTCTGGGGAACAAATTGAGAAACTATAAATGAGAAAATATAAGTGTCGGGTATTTCCTAAATACGATGTAACGTAGATTGCGTTGTAATATCGAGGTTTTTTGTTGAAACCACCTGGCAACCCTAGTTCCTCACGCCCTTTGTCCCGAATCCCCCCCCCGCCCCCTTTGTGTGGCCTGGGCCCGCTGGCCCACGCCCCCGAGCCCGTCCGAGCGC